AGAGAGAGCCATTGAATATAAGTATGCAATACCTGGCCATCGGATCCTTTAAGAAGTTGAAGACAAACATCGCCACAAAAGCCCGTTTTGCGGTAAACTCTTGGCCAGTGGCCAAAGTAAACACAGTGAACGTCCCGATGGCCATCGCGTAGGGCATCAGTAGCCATACCAACTCAAGCCCCGACCTAAAGTAATACCCGGAGCGCAATGTGTCCAACTCTTTGCCGCGGGTGTCGGTAATCCTGGCCATGAATGGTCGCTCCCAACCAAACAGTTTCAACAGTTTTACATTGTTTAACACTTCGCTGATCTGTTCCATGCGTTTGTCTTTCAGCGACATCTGTTTTGTCTGCAATGTTTCCATCCGTTTCAGTAGCCATGACAGGAACGGACCCATTGTTACCATTACAGCCCCGGTCATCAACGATGTCGGTCCAAACTGTTGCCACAGTATGTATTGGCACACAGCCAGCGATACCGGCGCCGACACCAGGTATGTCATGTGACGGGTAAACTCGCACACCTCAGTCACGTCTACGCCGACCATGTTGTTAATATCACCTAGCGACAAAATAAATAACATCATTATTGTGTTTTTAGTACTAAATATAACTAGATTAAAAATGACGGTGACTTACCAGTGGTGTACGTCCGACGAGAACCTGGGCTGAGGGCAAGCATTTTGCTATACATTGCTGTCGTGAGGGCCGACTGTAGCCGATAATTAGCTATATTGATAAACATATAGGAGTGCTGTTCAAAGAGTCGGCCCATAATATTGATAAGACAATAGCCGACGGCGTAATACACTCCGTGCCATAAGTGGTCGCCCGCCGAGTCATCGGTGGCCGACACAAAGTCTATAAGCGCGGCGATTATGTAGGGCTGTCTCAGGTCGACAAACACGTGGCCAAACTCCATGACCAGTCCGGCCAAATACGGCAGCCATACTGTGCAACAAATCAACGGCAATAGCCTTAAGCCGAGTACCGGTTTGTTTGCGTTGAATCTCTGGTCCGCCGACCGCCAGGACTGGTAAGAGTTGTCGGACTTTATATAATCGCAAAGCGGTAGTAAATACTGCGATAAGTCGTGTCTCGCTTTGTATCCGTATTTAAATAGTGTTTTCATCCAAACAATTAATATTTTGCTAAACACATTGTGGTCGTCCATCGGACACACCGGTGCCCGGGGCCGGTCGGGCTCTATCAACCGTTCAAACCCCACACCAGTGGACACTATTGGTGTTAGACATGAGGTTATTAGAGCTGATAATGTGAGCAAAACTATTGTTGAATTGATTACGGCCTCAAGAATCGGAATATTGTGATGATTTGTGGCCACAAATTGATACAAATTAATGATTGAAACCGAGAGACTGGCCAACCATTGAAGGGGAACAGCGGCCGAGTGTCGGTATCCCCGCCGACGGTATATTATGGCCAAAGTTATGGTTAAAATATATGTTAATATTTGCGTTAAATTTAAAAATATTTTGCTAAATATTAGTGTATGAGTTTTATAATCGGTGCGTATCCATAATATGTCTGATATGTTGAATAATGCAATAAAGATTAACAAAATTGCTATAATCTGTGAGATTAACGGATTAAAAATGTAAGAAAATATGTATTATAATTATAAAACGCAAAAATATTTACCAAATGTGAAATATTTCTCCATTGATAGGGAAGTGATGGTAACTTTTGATGACTTTTGCGGATAACGATTATATCGTACGGCAATAGTAATGATAACACAATGAGAGGAAACACCGGTAATAATGTTTGGACGAAACAATCGGTCAATAGAGGGATATCTGAATCCCATAATAGACTGGCGTTCTGTTAATCAAATATCACTTATATAACTTACATTTATATAATACATGTATAAGTATCTAAATATGCATAGTCATTGTCATGCTGTATCATATTTAAGTATCTTAAAATGATTAAGTTCTTAATGATTATAATAGATGAAATATGAAATAATTGTGATAACAATTTTTATACTGCATTACAAAATTACAAAAAAAAACCCATCTCATATTGGCTACAAAATATGCAAAACGTCTACAAACTTATTGATTTTAATTGTAAATTTATTGAATTATGGCATTGGAATGAAAGTATCAAGTTGAAACTGTGTTTATTGGGCTACAAAACACTATAATTATTTAATCTATACTATAGATCCTGATACCTGATCTATACCTTTTGTGGTATCTATTTATAGATACCATTTCCGGTAACGCTATGGGATTGTTGTTATAAATAAGTTTCATGTAAAATAAAAATGTAATTGTAATTCATAAAAATTAAGTCTAACTTTAAAGAGTTGTGCATATTTTTGTTGCCAAACTTTACTAGCATAATTTTTTGTATCGTTTTCTAATCATTTGAAAAAACACTACAAAAAATTTGCAAAATACTAATTTTTTTGTAAAAATAACATTTTATTTTAAAAAGTATTTACCCATATTGGTGAATCGCAGAACTCAACGCGGTTGACCATGATCTTGATCGGTTAATAGTTGTCCATTTTATTACAAGAAATACTTTAAACTAATAATATAGTATTTATATACTGTATTACTTATAAACTTTTTTTTTGCAAATCATTCACAATTATATCAAGAGCTGCAACTATTTTTACTAACAATTAAAATTGTTTATACTTTTTAAAAACGTTAGAAATCCGATCGAGACATCAGTTTATATACCACTCAAAAAGTCAAAACAAAAACATAACAATTTCTAGAACCTAGATCATTCATATGACTTTACAATTATGCTTTTCATTTACACTATTGCTTATAGTATTACTTATATATGAAATAAATTTCCATTCAAGAAACAGTACAGTATATTAATACTGCTATTGCATAACATGTATGAAAATACAAACTCTGTTTACTGTTTACAGAATATAGAGGTAGAGAGATATCAAAATATTATACCATATATGGCAATGAAAGGCATTATCGCGCATATGCTCTCTCTCTCTCTCTCTCTCTCTCTCTCTCTCTCT